GGTTTGGGGAGAGGATGTGACTAAACCCAGATCATGCAGATTGTCTCTGATAGATGCCAAGTAGAAAGCAAGCCACCTGCGTCCCAGGGCAGGGCCTACTGCCAGGAGCAGGATGCATGCCTGAGGGCCGCCCTTGAAGCAATGGCTACTGGCATTCACTATGTCCCCATGGGTGGTTGGCCTTTCCAATTTCTCATATTGCTTCCTCCTAATATGCCTCTGCCTTGCTTAGGGCAACTAGAAACAGCTCTCAGGAGCTCTAGGACTCTATGCAAATGAATAGCTCCCTTCAATGGCAAGTCTGCTTTTATTCTGTAAAATGGGACTATCTTTTGTTTTTCTCTTCTGTTCAGGATTATCTTGAAGATCCAGATGCTAGCCACCAAGAAATCCTACATTCTTTCAAGAAAACTTAGAATAGTGTCCCAATAGAGCATTTATATCATAATTAAGTCCTACTAAAGTTAAGCCAATAGTCGGATTTCAGCATTTTATAAAGACTGACAATGCTTTTGATCTTTCTACCTTTAAACTTTTTAAATAGCATTTATACTTGTACACAATTCAAGTAATAAACCTTGACATCTGACACTTGAGTCTTGAAGTGACTCTGCTAGTGGAGGCTAAAAGAGGTTCATTATCCCCAGTTTACAGAGGTAACTGGCTCAGGAAAGCTACCTGCCTTTCCCAAGGCCTCAACTGTGCAAATTAGCTTTTGAATGTTCTGCTCAATTTTAGTACCTCAAAAACACTGAACAGCTGCCTTTTCTATTATATTTGAGGTATTTAGCAAGAAGCACAGCTTGACCCTGTGACTTCAGCAACACCACTCCTCTGCTGAAAACTAAATGCCACAGGGAAATTATGGGGAAGGGGAGTTGGCTTTGAGGCTCACAAACCTTTATGATGCTTTTAATTATTCATAATTTATTCTCTACATTCTTTTAAAAACACCCTGAGATAGTTCTTAGCTCTGATAACAATTCAATGAAAAGTAAGAGCTAGGGTACAATGGCTCACCCCTATAATTCTAGCACTTTAGGAGGCCAAGGAAGGAGGATCACTTGAGGCCAGGAGTTTGAGACCAACCTCAACAACATTGAGACCTCATCTCT